ATTAATGGAGCTTGGATCGTGAGAACAGAGGCAGATTTTCTTACCGTGCAGGAGGATCACAAACACCAACAGGGTCTTCATCTTTCTGTAAAAACAGCAAATAGCTAAAACTTTTCCTTCAGTCGTCTTCTGCCTGAGGGAATCAGCAGCAAATCCACAGACATAATCCACCTGCTCCTCACCTTAAACGAACACACCTTTATTTTTTTCATTCAGGAAGAGGAAACACTTGTTCAGAGGGAGGAAGGGACTGTTCACGTACCTCTAGCCAGTAAAGACGACGACAAGAGAAACAAAGCAAATAAAGAGAAAAGAAACGTGAGTCAGGACCAGTTTAATAAGTCTGTAATCAAAAATTGTAATCATCACGTCAGACTAAAGTGAAATATTATCTCTTTGTTTCCTCGTATACTTCCACATATGATAAATGTGAATACAGAACATAATAATCATAATAATAATAAATTATGTTTTATTACTGTCTACCAGCAGCAGCATCACAGCCCACCAGGGGGCCCACACACTGTTATTTGCAGACTACATGGCTGGTGGTGAAATGTGAGTCTATTCAGTGACAGACAGAAGCTGAGCAGGTAACACTTTCTAATGAAAACATAATAACCAATGCTGGTTATTTATATAATATGGCTAATTCAACTTTGTACTGCTGATGAAACCAAGAGTACAGGTTTAAAATACTTACCCCAACAGCAGCCGTCACTATAAAGGTAACTGTGGTTAGTATCTGCAAGAAAATACAGATGCTAGCAACAATTAACTTTATAATAATAATAGCTAACTTCAATTCAGCAATAAACAATATTATTATTATTATCATTAGAAAAGAACAGGAGTGATGTGCTGGTAACACAGTGTAAGAGTAACAGTATTTAGAATATTAGTAGTTATTAATTAGATTTTAGTCAAGGTCAAGTATTACCCTTCCACCTCTAACAGTGATGATATATTAGTTTAGGATTAACAAATATTGTAGTTTGTATTCTTTCTTTACACGTTAGAGTTTTAAATAACAACATTTATTCAGTGTTCTGTGGAAAGGCAAAGAGGGAACTGCACATCTCGTTCAGTAGCTATAAAAGAAAAAGTTTCCTCTGTGTTGCTGTGAAAATCACTCATTCAGTTCAGCAGCTCCGCCTCACTCTGCAGAAGCAGCGTGCCGAGCTGATGATCAATATTGAATCGGTGTGCAACTTTGCCAAAACAATGTGGGACTCTGTAGTTTTCTCTGGTCCCCTTCCCAATCAGACCAGGAGTGACATGTTTAGCCGCATGTTCTCCTTAAATTGCTGGCTGTCTGAGTGGTGTCCCAGAAACGATGTGGGCTTCATAGATAATTG